TGTGCACACAGGTGTGATGAGTGTACATTGTGTGCTCACAGGTGTGATGCATGTACATTGTGTGCACACAGGTGTGATGTGTGTACATTGTGTGCGCACAGGTGCACCTACAGAATACAAGCTGGGCACATGGAATGATTCCTAGAGCCGTTGGGCGATACACAAAAGTGTAAGAGACAGCCCCTTTCCTTACTGTATATAACGTGTTGTAAAACATCCATCCGTCTATCCATCCATGCATCTGTCAGATTCTTCCTGTGAATTTTCCCGTAGTTTCAGGCGTCACGATAGTTTCTGAGAGTGGATGTGTGAAGATACCGGAGGCCTCGGCTCTCAGACAGCTATGGAAATTCTTGCTTTGTTTTTTTAGATAGAGTCTCACTATGTAGCCCCGGCTGGCCTGGGACTCAAAGAAATCCTCCTGTCTCTGCTTCCTGAGTGCTGTGATCTAAGTCCTGTGGCACCATGCCTTTTAGTTACGACAGTTCTCTTCCTTTTCTGTGAGTGTCTCTCACTCACGGACACAGAAACACAATTATCAATAGAAGTCACCCTGACGTGGACTGTAACCAATGTTAACTAAGCGGTCTGGTTTCTAGTCCGTAAGTCCAAAGGAAGAGTAGAGAAAAAGGACTGCTGAAACATGGTGTGCTGAGCCACGCTTTTGAGAATACCCGGAGAACAGATATTAGGGTGTTGTTCTTTTTGGAGGTGATGTCACTTAGGAGGTCTGGGGACAGGGACTGGGAAGAGGGCTCAGTAGACTGCTTGCTTTGCAAGCCTGAGCGTCTGAGCTGGATTCCCAGAATCAGCATCAGAGAAGCAATTGTAGCTTGAGTTTTCCTGCCTTGCCCACAGTCAGGACAAATCTCTGTCACCCGCCAGTCCCACAGCCGCTCAGACCCGACCAAGTAAACACAGAGACTTATATTGCCTACAAACTGTATGGCTTCTTGCTAACTGTTCTTACAGCTTAAATTAACCCATTTCCATAAATCCATACCTTGCCACGTGGCTCGTGGCTTACCGGTACTTTACATCTTTCTTGTCCTGGCGGCTGCTGCAGGCAGTGACTCCTTCTGCCTTCCTGTTCTTTCTTTTCTCCTCTTTGTTAGTCCCGCCTATACTTCCTGCCTAGCCACTGGCCAATGAGTGTTTTATTTACTGACCAATCAGAGTAATTTGACATACAGACCATCCCACAGCAAGCAACGTTTGGAGGTTGTGCTTATAACCCCTGCATCAGGGAGGCAGAGACAGGAGGATCCCCTGGGCTGACTGGCCAGCCAATCTAGCCCAATTGGAAGGGCCCTGGTCCCGGTGAGAGACTCTGTCCTCAAAAAACAAAGTGAACAGCTCCTGAAGAATGACACCCAAGGCTGACCCCTAATCTTCACGTGCACCTGACACGTGTATGTGCACTAATACTGCATGCATGTTCACCTGCACATATCTGCATGAGCACACACACACACACACACACACACACACACACACACACACCAACAGCATGGTTCAAGGTTGTCACACGATCAGGGATGCACATGTTCTATGTGCTGTTACCTACGTGTCTTTGAGTATCCAGGTAGAATGCAGGACAAAGCCATCTTTCTTCAAGTGGCTAACGTGGGATACTGGATAAGTACCTCACAGCGGCTGGGTGATGATGTTCAAGTGATAGCATAGGGTTGTATGCACGTGCACGGGTGTGTGTGTGCGTGTGCGCATGTGTATGTGTGTGTGCATGTGTGTGCGCGAGTGTGTGTGCGTGCGTGCGTGTGTGTGTGTGTGTGTATGCGTGTGTGAGAGTGTGTGTGTATGTGTGTGCATGCGTGTGTGTGTGTGTGTGTGTGTGTGTGTGTGTGTATGCGTGTGTGTACGCGCG